AAATGATGATTTATGTCCAAATCAGTTTTATTAATTCATTTGCATTTTTTCTTCCAAAGTAATTGACTTGTGAAGAATTTTAAGCAAGGTATTGTATCTGAGGCATCTGATGATAGACCGATTCATTTACGAAAATAGACGCTTAAATTAATAAGTTAAAGGCTTACTGCGCAGATTTTTTTCCTACCCGTCCATGAATGAGTAACTATCACATTTTAAGTAAAATAAAGTATTGTAATCTTCGTCTTTTTTCGTCTGTGTCTGGATGGTAAAGGCAACAGATGTGTCGCTGGGGATTGGGGGATCAAATATAAACATATGGCGCCATCATGTGTTGATTTGAAGTATTACAGTCACACTTGCAACATTTTCTAGTTTCACACGAGCAGCACACAAGTGACCTATGGACAAAGTGCAAATGTTTAGAAATATTTATTGCACTTAGTCTTAGGTTTCTGAAAAATGTGTTTTATTGCATCTCTCTTCTGACAAACACTCCTGTCATATGTGTGTTGAGAGGCACCATTACTAATAAATGTTTATCACACTGCTGATAATGCTTTTTGTGCAGATGGTCTTATTTAAGCACTGAATTAAAACATTTAACCATCTGTCTGTACTTTTTTATTAATAAGAACTGACTTTCTTCCTTGACTCTTTATCTTCTTTCTTCTCAGTATAAATACGTTAATATGCATCATCTGGCCTTATTCGTTCTAAAATATTTGGATTAAACAAATGGTAAAAACATATCTGAGAGTGTACTGATTTGTCTATGTTCAAATTACTCAAAATCCACCATTTAGGGTTACTTCTAATGTGATTAATGTGGTGTGTTATTGGTTTTATTATATTGCTTTTGTTATGTTTATGCGTTTGTTATACTGTTTTGTGATTTTTGTATCTCTTTGTGCCCGAGTATACTTTAAAAAGAGCTCTATATAATTGTATTACCATTATTTAAAATGCATGTGCTTTCAGCTAGATTATATCACAACAATAACTTTGAAAGATAACCTAAGATGTACAGTGCATCTGGAAAGTATTCACAGCGCTTCACTTTTTCC